TTAGAAAGCAAGAGAGAGAAATGTGAGGGAGAAAGAATAAGCAAACAAAAACAATGAAAGGAAAAAACCAGGGCAGGTGCCAGACCCAGAGAGGAGAAAGTTCTGCCAGCCACAGACCTCATGTCATGGGTGGGTAAGGATGAAACAGTAATACTCAACCTTAGATGGAGCTCTCATAGGGCTAGGTGTTTTCTATTCTGGCACTCAATCTGGAAAGAATTCGTGCAGACCCCACAGCAGCTGGGGGATAAGGATATATTACATCTCAGAAGGAGCTGATTGTGAGAGGTCCCTTTAGTCTAGGGCTGACTAGAACTGGTTCTGCAGGTCTGGAATAGGCCACACCTGATTCCAGGTGCTAGGGGTTGGTGCTGCTTGCTCCCCAAACACTTGACAAGACTTTGACAGCCTGGAGAGCTGGAACTTTCCTGAGCCTGTATGCAGATGGGGGCAGGCCATAGCTCTGGTCACCAGGGTATTTTGGAGTATAAGTAAAAAATAGTCTCAGCCCTTTCACTCCATCAATAAGCTGTGTGCCTTTGCACTACCTACTGCCCTCTTGCCTACAATGTCACTCTTAAAGGTTTAACAGCTGGCTAGCCAGCACAAATCTCCAGTTTCTTTTCGTTTCTTCCCCCATACGTCTGTTCAGCTGCTTCTGATAGTGAGAGCTAGTCCAGTGCTGACCAGGCCTGACTCTGCAGATCTGGAGCAGAGCCTGCCCAAATAGGGTCAATGTAGACAATGCACCCCTCCTTTAATGGGGCCTATAACCACAGCACTCTCCTCTATGCACCTCTGACCACAAGGGAGAGCAGGAGCTTCCCTGGGGGTGTATGCAGGTTGTGTCCAGCCTTGCTTCTGGTAACCAGAAGAGTGTGGAGAACAAGAAAAAAAATCACATCTTAATTTTTGTGAGACATAGGTATGTTTCCACAATGCCAATATTTTTTTTTTTTTGTCCCTGAAACCACACACAAAAGCTCAAGATGGTTTCGCCTGTATGGTCTGCTGGCAAAGGTCACTAATTTTTTTTTTTTTTTTTTTTTTTGCTGTGTCTGTTCACTTCACTCTCTTAGTAAGCATTCAATCCACTTCTCCTGAGAAAGCAGAATTTAATCTTATTGCTTTTCCTTTGTAGGTAACATTTTATTTTTCCCTCACTGCTTTTGGGATTCTTTCCTTATCTTTGATTTTGAAGAGTTTTATTATGATATATCTTTGTGATTTTCTTTTAGGGTGTATCCTGCCTGGGGTTTGTTCAGCTTCTTGAATGCTTTTCTTCTCATCTTTCATGATATTAGGAAATTTTCTTCCAGGAGTTCTTCAACTATCTTTTCTGTGGTTTTCTTTGTCTCTTCCTGTTATGGAATTACAGTTACCTGTAGATTATTCCTCTTCATGAATCTTAGGCTATCTTCAGATTTTTTTTCTGGTTGTTTTTCTGTCTTAGCAGTATTGAGAAACTTCTCTTCAAGATGGCTAATTCTGGCTTCCATAGATTCAGTTCTACTCCTTTGCCCTCTAAGTATATTGTCCATTTCTGTACCTCTGTTTGCAGGTTTTTATTGTCTCCAATGCTATATCTATTTTGTTTAATTGTTCCAGTAGCACTTTTCTAAACTCTTCCTTATTTTCCTTGGCCTTTTTGTGAAATATTTGGATGTGTCTTAATATCATTCTCTTGAATTCTTTTTCAGGTAATTCCAGTGCCTCTTCTTCCTCAAAAGCATTTTGTAGCTCTTCTTTTTGGTCTTGTTTCTATATGTGAGCAGAAATTTTCTGCCAATTTTAGGCATTGTGGTGTTATTATTTGTACTAATTTGATGAATGTATGTTGGTGTATTCTTAGGCACTCACCAGTTGTCTCCTGGTGGGTGTGATCATGAGATGAGCTTCTTGTTCCCTGTTTGGATAGTTTAATTCAGAGTGGTTTTAGCAGATGTTGGTTGTAAACAAAAACCAAACCCAAAACAACAACAACAAAACAGCCCACACAACAGAGTGGGTGGTTGTTGTTGCTAGGTGCCATCAAGTCAGTACTGACTCATAGTGACCTTATGCACAGCAGAATGAAACACTGCCCAATCCTGGGCCAACCTCACCATCGTTGCCATACTTGAGCCCATTGATGCCGCCACTTTGCCCATCCATCTCGCTGGGGATCTTCCTCTTTTTCTCTGACCCTTCACCTTAACAAACATGATTACCTTCTCCAGCGACTGGTCCTTCCTGACAATATGTCCGAAGTATAAGAGACAAAGTTTGGCCATCTTGGCAACCAAGGAGCACTCTGGCTGCACTTCTTCTAACACAAATCTGTTAGTGCACTTTCAGTATTCTCCTCCAACATCATAACTCAAAAGCATTAATTCTTCTATGGTCTTCCTTATTCACTGTCAGCTTTTACATACGTATGAGGTTATTGAAAATATCATGGTTTGGGTCAGGCACACCTTAGTCTTCAAGCTGACATCTTTGCTCTTCAACATTTTAAAAATGTCTTGTGTAGCAGATTTTCCTAATGCAATACGTTGTTTGATTTCTTGACTGCTGCTTCCATGAGTGTTGATAGTTGATCAAAGAAGAAATGAAGTCCTTGACAACTTCAATCTTTTCTCCATTGATAAGAATGTTGTTTGTTGGTGAGGATTTTTGTTTTCTTTACATTGAGATGCAATCCATACCAAAGGCTGTGCTCTTTGATCTTCATCAGTAAATATTTTAAGTCTTCTTCACTTTCAGCAAGCAAGGTTGTATCATCTGCATATCGCAGGTTGTTAATAAGTCTTTCTCCAATCCTGATGCCATGTTTTTCTTCTATAACCCAGCTTCTCATATTATTTATTTTCTCAGCATACAGGTTGAATAAGTATGGTCACACCTGTCACACACCTTTCTTAATTTTAAACCATTCAGTGTTCCCATGTTCTGTTCAAACAACTGCCATGTACAGATTCCTCATGAGCACAATTAAGTGTTCAGGAATACTCATACTTTGCAATATTGTTCATAGCTTGTGATGATCCACACAACTGAAGGCCTTTGCGTAGTCAATAAAGCACAGGTAAACATCTTTCTGGTATTCTCTGCTTTCAGTCAAGATCCATTGGACATCAGCAATGATATCCCTCGTTCCACGGCATCTTCTGAATCCGTCTTGAACCTCTGGAAGTTCTCTGTCAATGTATGCTTATAGCTGTTTCTGTATTACTTTTAGTAAAACTTTATTCACATAAGATATCAAAGAGATTGTCCGATGATTTCTGCATTCTGTTGGGTCACCTCTCTTTGGAATGGGCACAAATATGGATCTTTTCCAATCAGTCGGCCAGATAGTTGTCTTCCAGATTTCTTGGCATAGATGAGTGAGTGCCTCCTGTGCCACCTCACTTTCTTTAAAGATTTCAGTTTTTATTCCATCAATTCCTGGTACCTTGTTCTTTGCCAATTCCTGATGGGTGGTGGGGACTGAAAATCGATGGTTCTCTCCACCAGTAGGTGGTGTGCTTTGCTACCTACTGGCCTTTTGCTTTCACAGCTACTTGAGAAAGTTCAAATTGGTCATGCTGTGTCTGGAGGGTGAGCCCACACAAATTGCCCACTTCCTTTCCTTCCCATTTTTCTTCTCTACCCTATGCATCTATCTTTTCAGTTCCCTCTCCTAGTGACAGCCAATTGATTTTACAGATTTGGATCCAAGGCTGCCCTAGTGTTTTTGGTATATAACTCTTCCCTCAACTTGAAACCTCCAAGAGGCTCTAACTGCCTGGGAAGCAGGAGATTCCCTGGGGTTGTACTGGTCAGAAAAAAAAGGAAGAATAAATAAATAAATTGCACCTTTGTCTCTGTGAACCATAGGTGGGTTTTGCCACACAAATATGTTTTCTTTTCTCTAAAGCCATTCACGATTTTTTCAATCTGGCTGCCACTGGTTCTGTAGGCTGCTGCTGCTCATCAGTCACCTCATCTCTTGCTGTGTCTATTCAACTCTATCTCCCAGTAAGAACTCGATCTAATTTTCTATCCATTCCTCTGGAGGGCAGAGTTCCAAGACTGTCCTCTGTATCTGTCTTGTCTTGTTTTCTCCACATCCTTGCTGCAGAGATCCCATACAGCCTTTCTGCCTAGTCTGCCATCTTTCTCCACCAGTCATCCACTTCTCTATTCATTCATCTGAAGCTCAGATTTCAAAGACAGTCATCTGCATCTGTTTCATTTGGTTTTCCATGTATTTGTTGTAGAGGGTCCATACAGCCTTTCTGCTTAGTCTGCTTTCTTTTTGCCTCCCCTCAATTTATCTATGTCATACAATGGTCCTATGAGGGCTCTGAGATGATGTGACTTTTTCAAGGTACTATGATTGGTCGGTCGTCTGTGTATCTTTTATTGCTATCCCTCCCATTCCAGTTTGAAAGCCAAGATAAATGTGATCCGTTAAAGGAAAGATACGAACTTTGAATGAAATAGACATAAATTCATATCTAAGCTTCATTCCTTTCCCAGTTGACTTAAACTCTGTACTGCTTATCTAATCTGTCACCCACAAATGTAACCCACATTTGTGTGGATATAATGAATGTAAAAGGCTCTGCCGCAGGGCCTGGCACAAAGAGGGAATAAGTGGAAGCCAAAATGTTTCCCCTCCCCCACATTCTTATTTACCCCTATGCACTTTCACCAAACCAGCCAGACCAAGTAGCTATGATATGTCTCCACTACCACCACAGCATATATACAGACTCATGAATGTGTTTTCCTGTATTTTCTCTAACAGAACCCTCTCCGATGGAGAGATTTAAGGAATTCCAGATCAAATCATTTCCTACACAAGACTTCAGTGCTTTGAAACTTCTGCATCTCCGGAAAGCCTGGAAGAAACAGGGAACCAACTTAAGTATGAATCAAACCACAATGACTGATCTTCCAAAGACCTTTGGCTCGAAAATCAAGTAAGCTTAACTCTTAGCAGATAGAAAGCTTCAGATTCTGACTGGAAAAGGGGACATGACATACAAGACAGAATTTCACAAATGCCAAGGACACAGGTCAGTTCCAAAGGGTAGAATATGGGCATAGAGAAATCCTAGGTTTGCCATCTGAAACCTGAATTCTCTGCCACTAACACAGAGCCACTTTGGCTGGTCAGATACTTCCTTTCTTAGGACTTCAATAACCCAGTTGAGAAAGAAAGGGCTGGATGAATCTTGTAGCTGTGAAATTCTGTTACTGGCCCTTTTTGAATTTGAGCTTCTTCAGAAAACTCTACCCATCTAAGAGCCTGGACTTTGGGGTCAGTGTAACCAAGTTTCAAACCCTGTCTTGGCTACTTATTTTAGCTATATGTCCTTGGGCAAGGGACTTAATTTCCTTATCTGTAAATAATAGTTTTCCTGTTTCAGAGTAAGTACTTGACCTCAAGGTCAGTTTGAACCACAAGATTGGTGGTTCAAATTCACCAGTCACTTCTCAGAAACCCTATACAGGGTTGCTATGAGTTGGAACTGACTTGATGGCACTTAACAACAAAAGCAATTCTCATGGTTGTTGCAAGTTGGTGGTTACATGGGACAATGATCATTATTGCTAATACTTGTGGAATACTTTCTCTGTCCTTGGTCCAGAATGATCTAATGGAATCCTCACAATGACCTTATGAGATTGGTACTATTATTATCACTCACATTTTTTCAAGATAGAGAACCAAGATACAGTGAAAGATGAAATACTTGCTCAAAGTCACACAGTTAGAGAGTGGTAGACCCAGGATTCAAACCGGAGGAGCTTCTTAGTTCTCCAGCTGTGTTATCTGGTCCAATTATCATGGGTGGCATGAGGCAGATGCACAGGAAAGGCTGTACTTTTGCCTTTCCTGGGGAGACTGAGGAGTAGGAAAGGACACACAGTGACCAGGCTAGGGGCAGCTCAATGTGAGGTCAGTGCGTTGTAACTCTTCCTCATTAAATTTAAAATGAAAATATCATGATACTAATAATAACCTCAGTGGCCCAATCCCCATGTTGTCTGAGTGCTCCTTTGCCTATTAACACTTTCAGATTACTTGTCTCCATAATGATCATTCTAAAACAAGATGTGAGTTGTTTTTACTTCTGACAGGATTATTTCCAAAGAACCCAGGGCTTGCAATTCTAATCCCAGTTGTTCTGATCTGGAGATAGAACAGACCTGATGCCAAGCTGTGACTCAGTAAAAGAGAAAAAGAGACTGGCTAAACCCAGAAGTAAAAGATAAAAGATCTAATTCCTGCACACAAGGGCAGGAAATCAAGTGAAGTTCATATATGAATGAGTCCAGCTATATTTTCAACTGGGAAATAATCCTGACCCCACCGCTAATCCAAGTAGCATATACAGCCTATCTTTTTCATCTAGACAGAGACCAAAGAAATTACAAGAAGATTACCTGTATAACATGAACTCTAATACGAACCATGTACAGGAAGGAAAACTGTGTTTGTAAAAATGAATGAATGTAAGAGTCCCATCTTCTCTCTGCTGTTTTGTCAATAAGAGCCCCAATTTTGGCTGTGCCCTTAGAGACACAGAACTCACTCATTTACAAAATAGTTCCATTTTCAGTCAGCTCTGTTAGAAATGATTTCCTCATGTTGAGCTTTATTCTGCCAGCCTAGACTTCTCACACATCATGTCTGGCTCAGCTGCATAAACTCTGTCAGCCATTTCCTCCATGCAACAGCCTTTTGTGTTTAAAAGAAGCATATCTCCTTCCTTTCAAGTCTCTTCCTTATTAAACCTCTCCAATTCCTAACACAGACAGTCTCTCCCAGGGCTTGATTCGGCTTCCTCACCTTGGGGGAAGGTGCAGCCCCAAAGGAGGGAAGATTGTGGAATGCATTACCTGGAACTAATAAGCAATTAGAGCAAGACCGTAGGATACAAAAGTGGGGGCTGATTGTATTACAGATTAGCTTTCTTTAACAAGTTGCCAAATTTCAGATCTAAACATTCTCATTCGGTCAAATACCCTGTGATTGATTCCAAGTCTGGTCGGCTTGCCAGAAAGGCTGCAGTGGGGATCTACATGAAAATCCATAATGTGGAACAAGGAGAAATTGTGGTAAGTATGCACCAAGGAGTCCTGCTGTGGTGCTCCGTGTTAATGTGCTGGACTGCAAGGTTGGTTTGAACCAGAGGTCTGCAGTTCAAGCTTACAAGCTGCTCCTAGGAAACCCTGTGCAGGGTTGCTGTGAGTTGGAACCAACTTGATGGCACTTAACAACAACATGCACCAAGATAGTATTGTTTATGATATAGTGTGAAAAGTCTGGGAGTACTAACTAATGAGGGTCAAGGTTTAAAACCATTGCTTCTCTGTATTTGATGATATTAAAGAATATTCTTAGTTTTTAAAGATATGATAACAGTATTGCGGAGTCCTGGTGTGGCATTGTGGGCTAATGTGCTGGATTGCAAAGTCAGTTTGAACTGTAAGGTCAGTGGTTCAAGCTCACCAGCTGCTTCTCAAAAACCCTATATAGGGTCACTATGGGTCATAACTGACTCGATGGCATTTAAAACAGCAACAATGGTATTGTGGTTATATTTTTTAATACTCCTTATATTTAGGAATTCCATATTGACATATTTACAGATGAAATGACATGACATCTAGAATTTGCTTTAAAATAATCTGGGTTACCACTCCTATTCAACATTGTCTGGAAGTCCTAGCTAGTGGAATAAGAGAATAAAAACTAAACATATCAGGAAGGACGAAATAAAACTGTCTTTGCAAATGACATGATTGTCTATGTAGAAAATCTCCCCCACCGCAAATTACCAAAAAAAAAAAAAAAGCTCCTGGAACTAATATATGATTATAACAAGGTCTCAGGATACAAGATTAATATACAAAAGTCAATTGTTTTCCTATATAGAAGCAACAAACAATTGAATTTGAAATGAAAAACAATGCTACTTATAATAGAACAAAAATTGAAATACTATAACATAATATATACAAGGTCTATTTGGAAAAATATATAAAACTCTTAAGAAATCAAAGAACTGAATAAATGGAGATATTGCATGTTCATGGATTAGAAGACTCAGTGTTGTTATGATGTTAATTCTCAAATTTTAGTTTATTGATTCAGTGCAATCCCATCAAAATCCTAGCAAACTATTTTGTGGATACTGACAAACTGATTCCAAAGTTCAGGTGGAAAGGTAAATGGATAAACAAACCATGGTACATCCATAAAATGGAATATTCTTCAGTAGTAAAAAAAGAAATTAGCTATCAAGTCATGAATATTGCTAGTGAAAGAAGTCAGTATGGGAAGGCTACATATTATGTGATATTCTGGAAAAGGCAAAACTATAGAAACAGTAAAAATGATTAAGGGTTACCAGGGTTTGAGAGTTCAGGGTCTAGGATGAATAGGTGACATACCAGGGAATTTTAGGATTTTAAAAAATTATTAAAAAAAATATTCTGAATAATTAAAAAAAAAAATTCTGCCCACTGTAATGGTGGATGCAAGCATTATGCTTTGTCAAAACCCATAGAAATTTACAGTACAAAGAGTAAATCTTAATGTATGTGATTTTAATAAATAAGGAGGTTGGAGATCCCAGGAAGGAATGAGGACTGTGACAAGAAAACTTCAATACACATGTATTAATAATCTTACTGAAAGGGAAAGGAAAAAGGATGCCTGGCCTAAGTAACTTTAACAATGAGTAGAGTCAATATGAATTAAGACCAAAGAGTTGGCACATAAGCATTGTGCTCTGGTTGATAACATTGTTCCCACAGTACAGGTTGCTGTGAAGTGCTGTCTTTCTATTTTTCTCCCATGGAGAGTCTCATAAATTCGAACTGTTGACCTTGTGGTTTAGCAGCTCAGTTTGTAATCCACTATGCTAGTAGGAACCCTAAACAAGGGGAAGAGGCTAGAATGATTCATATGTAATGGATTAGAGTTGGAGAATCAGTATGAACTCATGTTTAGTTTAATATAGATTATTACATATGAAACATTATTTGTGGATATGTATATAGAATTAACACATTTTTTTGTTGTTGTTGCTCTATCAGCTAAGAGTGACATGCCAGTAACAATGAGCACATTTAGTGTTCAGATCTTGGTTTCTAATATTATTCTCTAATAAAAGAAACCAGAGTTCCATGGAAAAATGCCTGATTCCAGGACTGGGGATATACAGAAATATACAAGATAAGCTCGGATCATCTTGTTTGCCAGACAGTAAAGATTTGCTCAAAAAATAAACAAAACAAGCAAACAAAACCTGTATTGATGGGGTTATGCCAAAAGGACAAGGAGGCAACTGAAAGAGCTCCCAGTTACCAAAACTGGAACAAATTTGAGCAAACAAAATAAATGAACTAGGATTATACTTAAAGTATATCTGTGAGTCCATACTGATACAAGTAAATTATTTAGTAAATCGGGAAGAATAAATATCCCACACATAAGAATTCCAAATAATGTATGTAGACACTCTATCCTCAAGGAGAGTGTCTACATACATTATTTGGAATAACTCCTTACTACTTAGTTGTTGTTCCTGGGAAGTCCTATACAGGATCAGAATCAACTTGATGGCACTTCACAACAACAACAACAACCACTTAGTTGTTGGCTATATATAGTAACTTTCTTCCAAAGAGTACAATATGCAAAGGGAGAAACAAAAAATAACTTTACAGTGGGGAAACCTGAAAAACACTATCAAGTCCAACATTAGCAGTCATAAATCATGGTCTTCCTATCAGTAACAGTAGCCTATAACCTTGGTCTTGTAATGAGAAAAACATCAAGCAAATTCCAATTGATGTGTACCCTACAGAATAACCGATCAGTACTTCAAACAGTCACATCTGAGAAACTATCACAACCTAAAAGAGTTTAAAGAGAAACAACAACTTAATGCATTGTGGTATTCTGGATGGGATCCTGGGACAGAAAAAGACATTAGGTAAAAACTAAAGAATTCAGAATAAACTATGAGCATTAGTTAATAATAATGTACCAATACTGGCTCAATAATTGTAACATAGATATCATACTATTGTGATATGTTAATAATAGAGAAAACTGAGTATGAGTTGTTTGGAAGCCCTGTATACCATCTTCTTAATTTTTCTGTAAATCTAAAACTTCTAAAAAATAAAGTCCATTAAAAAAATAGTAATGGGGGAGGGGAAGTATGAAGCAAGTTTGACCGTGAGTTGGTGATTATTGAAGCTGGGTGATAGCTTCTGGAACTGAGTGGCAAGGTGAGTAGATGGCACTTGGCAGAGATAGAGTGGGCAGGAGGGTTTTCCATCAAATAGGAATTGATTTCTGTGTGCCCAGGGAAGGACTGTCCTTTCTGAAGCCCTGCATCTGTCTGCCTGTTCTCTCACCCATGTCTTTTCAGATGTTCTTATTTATGGTATCTCTAGGGGTCCTCCATTCACCCTTCTCACTTAGGTTATGGTCAGTTGTTAATGTTCCTGGGACCCTGGCCTATGAATTCAGATAGAGGAATGTCATCTGGGAGCCCTAACCCTCTAACCTACCCCTCAGGAAGAATGCTTTCCAGCTCTTAGGAAGTTCTTCCTTTTGCTTAGGGACACTCTGCTTCCTGCAACTTTTAACTAGTTCCTCTGCTCACACCCCACGAAACAAGAAATCAGCTTCTTTGTCAAGTAATGCTCCTTAGATATTTGAAGAATACTGTTCTCTTTCATTCAGCACTGAGGGAGCTTGGCACAGTACTAATACTTCATAAATTATTTTCCTATTCAGGCAAAACATCCTCTTTGTCTGTCTTTATGTTATATAGTTCTCAGACGTTTCCCTGTCTACTTCATTCCAGTTTCATAACTGGAATCCAAGTGCCTGAAGACAGTCACATGGCCCCATCATTGGAGTCTCATACATTGCTTGCTGGAAGAGCTGGGGATGCTGTGGGCAGAGTGGGATGCTTTGTAAGGTGGAACACGAATGACAGGTTGTGTTATAGAGGGCCTGGAATGCTGGAATAGAAGCTTGAATTTGATTCTTTTGTTGTTGTTAGGTGCCATCGAGTTGGTACCGACTCAAAGCGACCTTATGCACAGCAGAACGAAACACTGCCAGAGCCTGGGCCTACCTCACTACTGTTGCCAGGCTTGAGTTCATCAATGCTGCCACCTGGCCAATGCATCTCGCTGGAGGTCTTCCTCTTTTTCTCTGACCCTTCACCCTACCAAACATGATATCCTTCTTCACTGACTGGTCCCTCTTGACAATATGTCCAATGTATGAGAGATGAAGTTTGGCCATCCTGGCCTCCAAGGAGCACTCTGGCTGCACTTCTTTCAACATGGATCTGTTTGTTCTTTTGGCAGCCCATGGCACTTTCCATATTCTCCTCCAACACCATAACTCAAATGTGTCAATTCTTCTACGGTCTTCCTTACTTACTGTCCAGCTTTCACATGCATATGAGGTTATTGAAAATACCATGGCTTGGGTCAGGCACACCTTAGTCTTCAAGTTGACATCTTTGCTCTTCAACACTTTAAAAAGGTCTTGTGCAGCAGGTTTGCCTAATGCAATACGTCGATTGATTGCCTGACTGCTGCTTCCATGAGTGTTGATAGTTGATCCAAGAAGAATGAAGTCCTTGACAACTTCAATCCTTTCTCCGTTGATAAGAATGTTGTTTATTGGTCCAATGGTGAGGATTTTTGTTTTTTGACATTGAGATGTAATCCATACCGAAGGCTGTGCTCTTTAATCTTCATCAGTAAATGTTTTAAGTCCTCTTCACTTTCAGCAAGCAAGGTTGTATCATCTGCATATCTCAGGTTGTTAATGAGTCTTCATGCAATCCTGATGCCATGTTTTTCTTCATAGAACCCAGCTTCTCGGGTTATTTGCTCAGCATATAGGCTGAATAAGTATGGTGAAAGAATACAACCCTGTCACACACCTTTCTTAATTTTAAACCATTCAGTGTTCCCATGTTCTGTTTGAATAATTGTCTTTTGGTCCATGTACAGATTCCTCATGAGCAAAATTAAGTGTTCTGGAATACTCATACTTTGCAATGTTGTCCATAGTTTGCCATGATCCA